GTAGTTAAATTTCAAACTATCAGCAAACAGGAAGTGGATGTACTGAAGATGTGTTGAAACGACATGAAAATCAGCATATCGGAACGAAACATAAACTTGATCTGTAACTCATCATTGTAGACTCACATATCAAAAATCAGCGCAAAGTGTGAAGGCGTATAGAAAAAAAGTCTGTATAACTGTGATTTTCAACCATTTATCAAAGTTCAAAGCCCGTTGTTTCTGCAAAAATTAGCAGAGCGGAACGAAACTTTAACTTGATCTGTAACTCGTCATGGTTAACTCACATACCAAAAATCAGCCCAATATCTGAAGGCGTTTAGAAAAAAAGTCCGTATAATGGTTTGATGCAGAATGACGGAATGACGGGATGACATAATGACGGAATGACGGACAGGGGTAAAACTATATGGCCCCGATAACTTTGTTGCGGGGCCATAAAAATCTGATGCACAACTGCCTTATGCTCGTGTGTTTACTTATTCTTAACTGCCATGAAATAGACATAAATTAAAGTCATTAAACACATGGTAAAAGTCACACTTTTAAACCTACGATTTTCTAGTTTGCTGTTTAAATAGAGTTGTCCTTCACACAACGTTGACACATAGTCCTACAATGCAATCTGAAAATAAAAAAAAAAAGATGCTATTCTTTACCAAAAAAAGAAATAACATAACTAATAATTTTAACCCATAGATTTTGTATGTAAAAACACAGTTATTATAGTTTACATACATGAAAATGACAGGAGCTAAATTAACAGACAACCGATTACGAGACACCAAACAGGTCATTTTTGAAAATTATATCATTTTTTCTTTTTCTTATTTATTTAAAATTGAAATTTATTTACTCTAAGTATATGATAAATTAATATTATCAATGAAATTTCATCTTTGCTACCTCTCCGCTAGGCACGCGGAATTTGGGAGTAATAACAAAGACTGGTCGACTCGGAGTCGGAATAATGTGTCCACGTAGGCTGACATGTCTACCTGTTGATTGTTTCCTTGTGAAAAAACACGTTAAGATTAAGGCTCAGCTTGTCGGTTCAATAAAAAGCAGGGTTTATATTTTGAGCATATCACATTATCATGTTATCGTCATGAATATGTATTTAATTTGTCAATTGACGCTAAACAGCCAAAATAGGCGTCTGTGATTTACCTCTTCCGTTTGAACAATTCATCCAGACAAACACTCCAGTCTTGTATTGGGGAAGTGTGTCTGTTTTGTACACAATCGAGTCTGATCGAAATGCGAACATTCATTAAATGCATTAACACCATTTTACGTTCGAGCGTGTTTGAGTTGACTGTCGTATCTGTCGTAACACAGCTGAATAAAATGTTAATATCCTGTACCGAACAATATTCATTTTGAAATGAAATTGATAAAATACTTCTGATTACCATTAAATAAATACAAGTGTAATTATATTGTCAATGATGATAGTCATCTTTTTACAATAACCTTCATCATAAAAATATCAAACAATTGTAAATAGAGTATAGGTTAGGGAAACCTTCTTCCACTCTTAATCTAAATATGTGTTTATTGAACTACTTGCTAGGATGGAAAAGAATATGCAAGACAAACCGATTTTGAAAAGATTTAGTCTTATAATATTTAAAAAAAAAATATAAGAGCTGATTGTAAATTGTTGGAAAGTTGACATTTCAAAAAAAAAATATGCTTGTCTATGATTAATTTCAAATTAAATGCGAACTGATCAGAAAATCTTTAGAAAGGGTTCCGAGTAATCAAGTCTTAGGACAGAAGTTTCAGTTATGGTTATTTTCCTTTTCACACGTAGAATCTCTTTCATATATTTTCTCCTGACAGCTTTTGGGGTGTCTTTGGTTGCACTTTTAGTGTAAGTATGTGTCATGATATTTTTTTTCTTTTGCTTCATGATAATTTTTTTTCTACAGATTAAATTCTTTTTTAGGGTTTTCTATACCTTCTTAGTATCTTAGACACAGATGTCCAAATGTTTTAACACCGCGATATACACACTACTAAAGCCCAGTTTCTATAAATGGAAAATCGGAAATTATGCATGCGATAGTTGACTTTATATATCCTTAAAACTGAGTGATTACCATGAAAGTATAAGTGGAGAGCATCTTTACGTGTTTCTAACTTTTTTTCTGAATCAATTCTTTGAAAATTTATCACAGAAGATGCATCAAATGACACCTCCTTTTAATTGTAGTTTGTCCCACAATAATACTTCAGCAGGATTTTCCAATTTGATCTTATAATAATGATGCATAATATTGTTATCTTAATGTAGACATTTGCATAGGTTTATACACTGTATATATATATATATATATATTATAAGTAAAGGAATGTGAGGTATACTTCTACAAGAATGCAACCTAACCACAGGAAAAAAAGAGACGTCAGCATATTATCTTCGAAAATAGACCAAATATTCATAAAATATTTCAAGCTCTAACTAAATCCTCTTGAGTTTGGACAAGTTGTGAATAAATTTCACAAAGAATACCAAAAAATATCTAGCTTACCAAATGACAACACCTTATTAGAAATCCGATTTATATAATACGTCGCAGTATCACTCTTGTGAAAACAGAACCGAATAACGGTCATTATCTTTTTCACGCCATATTCAGTTGCACTCGTCATATAATGTTGCATTCATCTCTAATAACCCTATAGAATTACAAACCATGATTGACATTGCCGTAAACTTCAGCAAAAAGGAAAGATATTTATTGCAACCTACAAAAAGTGTTATTATCCCGGAAAATCCTGCCGAAAATGTTTAGAGATTGAAGATGAAAATTAAATGGAAATGACATGCCAATTGTCCCAAACGCCTCTATTATAGGAATTCAAAAATTTGATAAAGACTCTGCAGAGACTGTATTTTGGCATTGCACAAGGTCATGTTTTTCTCTGACTGTTAATGACGTCTTTACACTAAATCCTTTGGATGTTGGATGTGTGCTGATTGATACTTTAGTCTTAGATACATGATTTTTTTTATTAGTTGTTATTGGCTTTGAACTAGCTGTCAGTAACTGCGAGTACACTCAGATCTGTACTTAATGTCGGTTTTTTTGTTGTAGGGATGTATAAATACCCTGCCACGTCCTGTCTGTGTTTTTGTGATCTGGTGAGTTAAGCCCTTTTCAATTGATTTTTATAGTTTGTTCATATGTTGAACTGTTACATAGGGGAGGGTTAGACACCCGCTAACATGTTAAACCCCCTCACATTTAGTATGTGCCTGTCCCAAGTCAGGAGCCTGTAATTCAGTGGTTGTCGTTTGTTGCTGTATATCATATTTGTATTTCGTTCGGTTCTTTTTTACATAAATCAGGCCGTTATTTTTCTCGTTTGAATTATTTTACATTTGTCATTTCGGGGACTTTTATAGCTGACTATGCGATATGAGTTTTGCTAATTGTTGCAGGCCGTACGGTGACCTATAGTTGTTAACTTCTATGTCATTTGGTCTCTGGTGGAGAGCTGCATTGGCCATTAAACCACATCTTCTTATTTTCATAACTACTGTTAATGAAATATAAAAAAAGCACGAAGAGCAATGTACAATGTATAGCCTAAAGGGTGCAGGCCTCCATGCAGAAAATGGTTTAGACAGTAAAACTTCAATCTCTCTTATAAGAATATATATTCTGCCAATATTAACCTATGGTTTGGAAATTTTATTACCAAAAGGTAAAACACTGAACAATGTTTCTATGCAATACAAAAAAAAAATGGAGTACACAAAGTTTGTCTTTAAATATTAATGTAGCTGACTCTGCAGTTTATACTTTGTCTGGTTAATATTACTTCCTATTGAAGCTAAAATCCATATTAAACATATTAATCTATTTGGAAATATAACAGCTAAGTGTGAATCAATTGAATGGCGACTAGATGAAAGACAACTACAGATAAAATCTCACAAAAGCCATAGTTGGTTTATTGAAATTAAGGAAATATGTTTAAAATATGGAATAACAGACTTGTGTCAAAATTTCAATGGAAAAATTTAGTTAAATCCAAAATGTATACCTATTGGAAATCAAAAGGATATTAAACCCTAAAATTCATGGAAAATAAATATAACATTGGATTTGTACATCCTTTAGCAATTTCGGTCAGTGCAAATCTAAACGATATCAGAAAAATTCAAGTACGTCTCAAAATTGAAACTGGGAACTATATCCTACAAGCTCATAACGCTTCAGTATTCAATTTGTAAAGTAATAAAGCAGCTAAAACACTTGAACACTTTATCTTAATTGTTATGTGAAAAATTAGAAGACGCAAGAAAACCACTTCTCTCAAAATTTTTAAAAAGAGGAAGTCTAATTTTAACTTAAGACATTATATCCCCTCCAGTTGATCTTCTACAGTTAACTATCAACCCGTTCTGTTATGTGAACATAGATGTAAACAAAAATGCTTTTGAGGAAACCAGTAATATCTTAAAACCCCTATGTAGACTAGAAACTTGCCTGGTCGTAGTTTATTGACTTGTATATCCCGTTAAGCCTGGTCGTAGTTTATTGACTTGCATGTACATCACGTTAGGCCTGGTCGGTAGTTTATTGACTTGTATATCACGTTAGGCCTGGTCGTAGTTTATATATATCCCGTTAATCCTGGTCGTAGTATATTGACTTGTATATCACGTTAGGGCTGGTCGTAGTTTATTGACTTGTATATCACGTTAGGCCTGGTCGTAGTTTATTGACTTGTATATCACGTTAGGCCTGGTCGTAGTTTATTGACTTGTATATCACGTTAGGCCTGGTCGTAGTTTATTGACTTGTATATCCCTTTATGAACGGGGAAAAGCGGACAATACAAGATTTATATTATATCCAGTTCCGTACATTAAACAAAATCATATTTAAATACCCTTGTATTGTTTTGAAGGACAAAAATATGCAATCAATTGTCGCGTATCAATGCTCATGATTTATATATAAAGTTAAACCACAAGGGTATTCCCTGACTTCAACTGAAAAATGGAGTTATTAGCTGTCCTAAGTTTGACATGTTTTATAAAATTTACAGGTAAGAATCGTATATCTAGTAATTACCTTAGGTAATTACATACTAGAATAAAACATTGTTTTAGCTTTTAATTACTGTATTGTTTAATCATTGCTATTGAATTACCTGAACTTCCATATACCAGATTGTCCCATCACATTTCTACCAGATATCATATACATGTATAAATGTAGGAAAATCTAATATATATATATATATATATATGATTTAATTTGGGATTTCTAAATATATCTGTAATACAGGGTAGTACTTTTGAGGTTGTTAATGTGCATTATTTTGAAACTAGGAAAACAGAATTATCGTATTCATTATCTGTTTATACATTCCCGTTAATATTTAATTCTCTTCATTGATTATATTCATTATAGCATATCAGTTCATAATTTGAACTTGACAGTGGCTATGATGAATAAAATCGATGACAATTATTTTTTCTTTACTTTGCTCTTTTCCCAAGACTATCGTTTTTCAGTAAACTATATTATATATTTATTCATTCGTCGTCCGATCGAGAACATGTTAAAATAATGATAACTAGAATCTAGAATTTAGTTACGGATGTTAATTAAATTTTTAAAACCCTTATATAAAACTAACTTTTACCCTGAGACCTAAGTCTCAAAGAATATTCATTATACATTTGAGAACTGTGCACTTGTATTAAAGTCAAACAAAATTAATTTGCCGTTTTCTGGAAGACCTTTTATACTTATTGGTTAGTCTTTATAAACGCATACTACTGAAGGGTAAGCAAGCAAAATATATATGAATGCATGGGACTTTGTTATGAAGAGACAGTCAGACTGATTTGAAAAAAAATCTTTCATATATATTACAGTAAAACACGCCCGTTGTAATGTTTAAATTTAAAGTAATCATTTGAGCACACACAAAGACACATCGATGACTTTGTGTTAGTATGCATCGAACACATATATATATCATCAAACATTTACAGTAGAAGTAGTTTGTCTTACCACAGATGTAATAGTCTTTATATAGATATAAGAAGATGTGGTATGAGTGCCAATGAGACAACTCTCCATCCAAGTCAAAATTTATAAAAGTAAACCATTATAGGTCACAGTACGGTCTTCAACACGGAGCCTTGGCTATTTTACGAATTTTTCCTTTGATCTTGCTGACTGATAATTTCCGTTCTCAGCGGTGTCGAGGGGTCCGGCGACTTACAGAAAAGAGCGACGATTTACAGAAAAGAACCGAAAAGGACCAAAAAGAACCGAAAAGGACCGAAAAGAACCGAAAAGGAAATCGATTTTTTTGTAATCGAAAGAAATTTGCAAATTGCAAATCATTTAAAACCTTATACTGTGACAGGACTAATTTAACTTGCATGTGAAAAATTACAGGTAGGATCGGATGCCTATCTTATAGAATAGAAAAATAGAAAAGAAATTTTTTATTCACCAAATAAGGGCCCCTAGTAGGGCATATAGCATACAAACAATGATATCATAAACAATAACATATGCAATACACAGACAATAGATATGTAACATGTGTAATAATAATAAAAAATACTACAGGAAACGCACACAACAAAATAATAGCAATATACTATAATTCAATTAATATTAACACGTTTTTAAATTTCCAGATGTAAGATAAAAGTAAAGCCATTTTCAGTTCAATATTGCCTGCTTCAGTAGGACACTTTTCGACATGATTCCTATTCAGAAAATCTGTCAACCAAGAAGCTATCAATTGACCTTACTTTGACATATTCACATCTTTTTTTCCAGAATCTATTCATAAAGACAACTGTATATTCCATAAATCATGGTGGATTAACCAATGGGTTACAAATGATGGAAAAACAGAAAATTCACTTTACATAACAAATTCAACGATAGCAAATTTCCGGATTCCTAGTATTACATCTGAAACGTTTCACTGTTACAGTAAAACACAAAACATTTACTTATTAAGGTATGTATTCTCTGGCACCATCTGACGGTGTTTATATATCCCAACTCGTTCGTTATGCCGTGTCGGTAGTGAAGTTTTGGATTTCAATGATCGTAATCTATGTATTACAGGTGAACTATTAAGTCAGGGATTTCATTACCACAAATTACTTAATACCTTTACTTCATTCTTCCATAGATACAAAGATTTGGTTTGCTAGTTTGGCTATATCTGTTAAAAAAACTTATTTCAGACGGAATATCACATCCTAAATGTTGTTTACCGAGCCCCGGAAATTTATATACGTGTAGCCGGAGAGCATATTCTACTTGCAAAATCGCATGTCTCCACCGGGACTCGAACCCGGGACCTCTGTGTTACAAGGCAGCGCGTATACCGACTGAGCTAAAGAAGTACTTCCTTAGCTCAACCGTTTACGGCTGACTAAGTATCTACTAATGAAGGGAAGCAATCCCGTCACACTTCCCCAACCTCAAGAATCATCATACCATTATGACTCTCACACACATACCCTAGCTAGAAATCCTTTCTAACTACCATGGGTTTTTATTGTTGGGCGCCAATGTAACCGGAGAGCATGATTCTACTTGCAAAATCGTATGTCTCCACCGGGACTCGAACCCGGGACCTCTGTGTTACAAGGCAGCGCGTATACCGACTGAGCTAAAGAAGTACTTCCTTAGCTCAACCGCTTACGGCTGACTAAGTATCTACTAGTGAAGGGAAGCAATCCTGTCACATACGATCCGGATAAACTTATCAATCCTTTAAATAAACTTATTCTACAAGGTTACCAATTCATCACTGTAATTAGATCTTTGAATATTGTTTTTATTGGTATAAATATTGATTTATCAGTAAATAAAAATTATACGAAATAGTTTTTTTTATAGACATATGCACGTTAATGGTACTACAGTCTGTCAATACCTTTATTTTGACATTGCACAAAGTCATGTTTTTCTCTGACTGTTAATGACATCTTTACACTAAATACATTGGATGTTGGATGCGTACTGATTGATATTTTAGTGTTACCTACATGATTTTATTATTAGTTGTTATTGGCTTTGAACTAGCTGTCAGTAACTGCGAGTACTCTCAGATCTGTACTTAGTGTCCTTTTTGTTGTTAGGGATGAGGGATGGATAAATACCCTTCCACGTCCAGTCTGTGTTTATGTTGATGTTTTTCTGCTTTGTATCGATCTGATGAGTTAAGCCTTTTTCAACTGATTTTTATAGTTTGTTCTTATGTTGTGCTGTTACACCACTGTCCCAGGTTAGGGGGGAGGTTGAGCGCTCAAAAACATATTTAACCCCGCCGCATTCTTTATGTGCCTGTCCCTAGTCAGGAACCTTTAGTTCAGTGGTTGTCGTTGGTTCATGTCTGTCATATTTGTTTTTCGTTAATTGTTTTGTTATTAATTAGGCCGTTAGTTTTCTCAGTTGAATTGTTTCATATTTTTTATGTCGGGGCCTTTTATGGCTGACTATACGGTATTGGTTTTTCTCATTGTTGAACGCCGTACGGTTGCCTATAATTGCTTACATCCACTTTATTTGAACTTTGGTGGATAGTTGTCTCATTGGCATCATACCTCATCTCCTTATTTTTATATAAATAGTAAATTAATATCTCGATCAACATTATTTTGAATAAAAAAATATGGTAATTCAGTTATTCTTCCTCATAACTTTGTTGGAGCAGTTATTGTACCAGTAGCCTACCCCTGTTAATGAAGTCCGTCTTGTGTGAACATGCACGAGCGTAAACGCTATACGATAGAGCAGAAGATATATGTTTGCGGTGAGAAATGTGAAGTTGACAATTCGAAAGTTGAAATCATCCCTTTTGTCATAAATTCTAGTTTGACGTTGTCCATCTGTGTCACTATTGAGGAAAAGATCAGACCTTCAACTTCCGGTAGTATTCTTAATCACAAGTTCACTGGCATAAATAAGTTGTAAGCACTCGTTGCATTGGGGTGTATTAAGTGACAGGACATCATAAATATATCTAAAATATTTATACCAGGGAAACTTTGGACGATGAACAATCCTGTCCATGAGTCCAGGGTGATCTCCATTTTAAGTAAACTAGCAAAAAAGACTTTGTTAAAGATAAATCCCTATGCCTATAAAGTAATGTTTATCTAAAGAACTGAAAGGAGTCAGATGGATAAATATAGATACGAAAAGTGGTGTTCCATAGGTTCCCTGTAATAAATGAAAAATAAATATTCCGTAGAAAAATGTGATTCACGTTATCTGCAAAATGTTAATGTACTAATATTCCTTAAACCTGTTTCCACGTTTCTAATTCAGGAATACAGTTTGTTTAAAAAAAGTCCTGAAGTATAGTTTTCATATAATGCGCTCGTTGTCACATGAATAATTGAATGCACCTGGTAATAAACCAAAATAATATGAATTCTCAGTAAGTTATTATTCTGGTTACAGAAGTACGAGGTCTGATGGTTTGCCGGAGTATGTATGTATGATGGCAAATGAAGTCAGAAGGGATTTATACTGTCTTTATCTAATTAAAGGTAACAATAGTTTATGGAATATAACATGTCAAAATGCATGCAAACGATACTAAATTGTTTCCCGGACAGTAAATGTATTCTAACGGATGAAACAGTGATTTGTAGTTCCAGTGATAATGGTTTACTTTTACAAATTGTGACTTGGATGGAGAGTTGTCTCATTGGCACTCATACCACATCTTCTTATATCTATTTTTGTATTATTAACATAATTACATCTGACTGGGCAGTGTATCCTTCAACCTTTTTTTTCATATATAAGTATGTGTGATATACGACATTGATTTACAAAGGTACACACAAAATCAGTATAGAAAGGACAACCCCAACTATTGATACTATAGATAACATTTACTAAATTTACTAAACAATACCCTTTAAAAAAAAAACAAACAAGAAACCCAGTGAAATAGAATAAAACTCAGCAATCATGACTTAAAACGGTGAACAAGTCTATGAATCGTTTGCATATTGTATACATAAGTGCTTCTAGTTGTCGTAAGGATTTTTACTTCGTCGAATGTCTAGCTTATAATCCAGGTAAGAAGTTGACCCTTTATTCGTTTCTAAAAATTTTCATACTAGTACTAATTTGCCATTTTACCAGTAATTGCTGTAAATGGCGTGCCGGTTGAATTGGTTTATTACTTGCTTGTATAATTTGATTTGGTTTTGGTAATATCTCATTGCTGAAGACCTTTAACGATATCTCATTGTTGTTGACCTTTGGCGATATCTCTTTGTTGATGACCTTTGGCGATCTCTCATTGCTGATGACCTTTGGCGATATCTCTTTGTTGATGACCTTTGGCGATATCTCATTGCTGATGACCTTTGGCGATCTCTCATTGCTGATGACCTTTGGCGATCTCTCATTGCTGATGACCTTTGGCGATATCTCATTGCTGATGACTGGGATATGACTTTAAATTGTCTATAATCAGAAAAAAGTTGTTGTTTGTGTGCTTATTTCAATATAACTTAACTGGTATGATGCAGTTATGAAGTTTAGGAAAAAAAAAATTTCAGTGCTAATACATCAGTATTTGTTCCCACATATAGTATGAACATTCACTTATTTCTGAACCTATGATCTTTACTGTTTGTGTAACTATGGTCTCATTATTTGTATGGTCTTAAGTTCGACCAGTTTGTCCTTTGAAAACAGTTAGATAAGGATGAATTGATAAATACGTTTATAATTTATTCTTTATAATTTTAAAAACATTTGTCATGGTAGTTTTTTTTTTCTGATTTATACAAAAGAATAGAAAAACAAAGGATATGGGGTATCCATCCATGACACAAAATCAGTACATGCACAACAAAAAACACACAATAAGCAAAGGAACAGCGCTTTAATTGCTGTTCTTCATCTCAAAGTCACAGTGAGGCCTTCAACACGGAGCAAAAAAACCAACTCTCACCTCAATGCAAGTTCAAGACGGCCCCTAGCACACAAAAAGGCATGTTTTACGATTTGTAAACATGCTATGAGTCATTAAATCAAAAGGACACCAGTCATCGTGATATTCAAATTAAAATATAGCAATTAAATTGGATTTTCGAGTGTTTACAAAATGAATCAAACTAAACAGGTGTTGAATTTCAAATCCTACAGATAAGGTACAATTTGTGTATCTCACATATACGCTGAAATTGTATTTACGAATTACCAATCTTTTTTTTTCTATAGAAAATTCAACAACAGCAAGTGGAAACATACCTGCTTGTAGTATTTGTACAAGTTCCTCGTCACCTAGAATGTATACGCTTAAGCACTTTGGTAAGTCATAACTTCAATCAAACTTGGCTAACAGGTTCTGTATTTGTTATTAAGAACGTGCAACTAAAATACGCCAAAAATAATGTAGAATAATGGACTCTTATGCAAAGCAGAAACAGGAAATAAAGAAATTAATTAATTTTTATATAAATGCAAAAATTAGTTCCGATTTTTTTTCATTAGCGTATCATATGGATCTCCGTTAGTACAACACGCGTCTCAGGCACATCAACACGCGTCTTTAAAGGGGGTTCTTTCGAGCCCGATGTTTTTATATTCAGTTTATGAGTAATATGCTAAAACAATTTGTTCACTTTGAGTGTTAGTTAAGAAACTAGAGACTCCAATCGACCTGTATTATTCTATTGGTTAACAAACTATGGCTTTATATGTCCCGTTGAAGCCTTATGCTGCATTTGAAATGTAGAAAATAAAGAAAGTTTGAATGCACGTGATACAGAAATTTCATTAAAAATAGGGAATAAGAATTCAGCAAAGAAAACATGCTTTTATTGTTGTTCTTCAATTGTAGTGTTTTCAGGGATGCTTTTTCATGCGCCTGATTTACTTCATCATGCACACTTATAAATATATACAGTCTACCGTTGAGACTTTAAAAACAAGATTGCTACAGAGTAGCAAACCCATATACTAATATATTGCATATTTCATATATTTACAAGGGACACAAAAGAGAGGCGAAATATTCCAAAGGTTATTTAAACTCATAATTATATAATGCAATGGCAAAAAACGAAAAACGACCAATAACTTTATACGTTATACAAAACACAATATAGAAAAATAATGACTGCGCAATACGAACCACGCCAAAAAACCGGGGTGATCTCAGGTGCTCCGGAATGGTGAGCAGACACAACTCCTGTGAATATATTTGATCAACTCAGATTTTCGAACATGTATTGCTTCTTCCAATGATATTTCCATATTATTTTCATTTCAAATGGACACAAATCCCAAAATATATACATCAGACTCATCAGTGGCGCTCGAATCAAAACAGTTAGAAGGTCAAATCAATTACGAAGATGGAGAGCATTGCAATGTTACTGTCCCAAAATGATCGATTGTATCCGAGATATTGCTGATGTAAACCTTTTGCAATAATCGATCCCGACATATACAAAAGCAGACGGTATCAAAAGGACGATCAAACATCAAAAATCGAAGAAAAAATTACAATAACATGGCAACAAGTAAAAGACATATAACAGTCTTCAAAACTAAAGACCAAGTACACGAATTGTACTAAAACTTAGTGCTTCGTTAGGGTAAACAGAATATGGAGTCGATCGTGTTGTTCATGTCCAGAACAAATCCGGTAATAAATCTCATTACGTGACGTCAAAATAGAGAAAATCAGGACGATATTGTGATTAAGACAATTGGAATACGTGTATCACATTGCTATCAGACCAACAAGAATTAATGAATCGCGTCAAGGGGTTTTTAATCCGAATTCTGATAAGATTGTAACAAAAATTACATGACCACTTTTTTACGCGATACTAGAATTTTGAAATTGAAAAATTCGCTGTAGGAAATTTAGAATATAAAATCCTTTTTCATTCTATTAGTCCAAAATACAGTGGCCAATTGAGCAATTTCGGCTTCTAACGTCGGGTTTTAATTCTTATTCCTTAGATTAGATTAATTCCTGTAACAATCAACAACGCTTCACGCCATAACGTTTAGGACTAGAATGATCGAACACATATATTAGAACTTGACGTTTTTATTTCATATTGGTCATATACCAGTAATATCATTTGAAGGTAATCAAACAATAGAAGATCCAATAACATGCAGTAATTATAAACAGCATTGCCACAAACCTTCAGAGGAATCTTCACCAGTGGAGACAGAATCTACATATGGTGGTAAAGGGTCCAAATCTGCAGGTAAAATGATTACATCTGATGGTTAAAACGAACATATCCTTCCTTTTCAAAACTATCGACAGGAAGAAACCATGTTACGATACAACAGAAGCTGGTAATGGCACAGCAACCCACGAGAAAAAAAAGAATCACCAATAGAAATGTAGAGGAAAATCCAAATGTTTCAACAATAGACCGATGTCTGTATAATAGGTCAAGCTCTCAATCGACCCATGTCTTAAACGTCAAGAATGAAAACTCAAGGCACATACGTATGTGGCGAAATTAAATCGTTTTATTTTTTTATCTCAACTCTCCTTTTTCCAAATTGGAAATAGGGGATTTCTCTATTACAACGGTGTAAAAGAGTAAAAGATAACAAAAACACAAGGACAATCAAAACAATAATGAAGGAATTCTCAAATGAAAGCAGACTATAAGAACTTAACCTGCTGATAAGATGACGTCATACACTTTCATGTAGGTCATGACAATACATGTAGCAATGGTAGATGTACATTCATGGTAGGGCAAAATTATCAACAAATTAATTTGGATAAGGTTTTTTAACAGTTGCTTGTTAGTGTCCAAGAACTTATCAAATATACCGGGCTTATAATTTTGACGGTACACCATACGCGCGTTACGTCTACAGAAGACTCATCAGTTATTCATCAAAGTGAACTGTAATGTTAATAATATGTTAACTTTGATTCATGACTTTAAATTCAGTCTTTATGTATTTTTAGGGAAAAATTCGCAGACGTACATTGTAGGCATAGTAATTGGAATATTTGTTATTGGAGGATTTTTGATTGGTTTATGTGTTTATATAGCACAGCAAAGACAGGCCAAAGAAGTTCCAGAAGAAGTAGAATTAAATAAAATAGACAGTGATGAAGGAACAGGACCCGTAGAGGATTTTAAGGATATTACAGTTGGTGAAATACAATTGGACAGAGTTGATCTGTAGAAAAAGGAGGACTATGCATAGATATATATAAAACAAATATGTGCCATTCATTATGTATACTTAGTATTTTTTATAACTGTTACAGTGAAAGAAACTTTTGATAATTTAGTTCTTCAAAATTAACATGAATAACGTGACACTGTTGTGAAATTGATGTTTTTTTTAATCTCTGTGCTGCAGTCAATTGGTTCTTTAAAGTCGACTTTTCTGTTCTTCCTAGGCTTGTTTTGCCTGAAGTTTATGATTTGGAAGATATATGTGTATTCGGTCTTTTCCTTTTTATATGACGTCATGAAAACATTTTAAACGGAGCTACATGTAAGAGATCATTTAAACCTATTAATTAAAAAATCTGAATTAATTACATATCAATGTCAAGCTACCCGTGATAATTGTCGACGTTTGCTTATCGTTTAATTTAGCAATTATTTAACGCGCAGTGGATTATAATCTTAACAGTAAGCTCTGCAAAGTTGGCCAAATGGGATAAAGGATATAGAAAAATGAATGTCACTGAAAAATAGTCTTTGTAAGGTAGAAGATGAAAATTTGCCTCGCAATATGTATTTTGCGGAGATAATTCCGACTGGACGTATAGCTGATTATTCTTACATATTGCAAAACAACTGCCAAGGTTGTAAAATACAATTAAAATATTTGCTCCTTTAATATGTTATTTCATAAAGTATTCCTTGTCTTTCAAATTGAGAAAAAAAACTTTTTAGCAGTTTTATCAAATGTTTATAATATTTCTTGCATATTTCTATCTAAACGAGTTCAGTTTATTGATACTTTATTTGATATAAATGATAAAAATGAATCCAGTACCAATTATAACCCAGAATATAGTTATAAACACAACATATGTGATAAACAACTATTATGTGAGACTATCAATATCGCTAACGACTACTATCATATAGTGATACGCTTAACTAGCTATTAACAAAGAACCCTCTCTTTTGTCAGAGCTTTTGCGTCTGAGCATTCATTTTCTCTTTAAAGTAAGTACGCGTTAAACTCGAAGAAAGTTGTGACATATCGATATACTATAGTACTTTTATAAATTAAACAATATGTTAAAGGTGGCAATCATCCGTCAGGAAGTCAAGAATATTCTGTTGCAGATAATAGTTTTGTGGTGAAAAATGAGATTTTAATAAACTCAATTAGACCAGAGTTACTTTTAATGATTCTGTCCATATAAAAACTGAATGGAATGTGGGTCATTACTTATATAAAAAAAAAAATTATTTTAAAGCGAGATCAAATGAACATAGTTTTAACAATAACTTGTAAAGTTAATCGTTGAAGAACATGCTATACCGCTCTATTATGCAAACACATTGATTCAATATTCGAACCAATATTAGACACCTAAGTACTCTAATTAAAGAGATAGCTATGTTGCTTTTAAAAAAATATGAACAGTTTTAACACAACAAATAAAAACCATTATAAGAATAAAAACGATCAAAACCAAAATATCACCAATTCACGACAAATCATGCAGCGCTAACCAAATCTGAAAAGATTCAATTCGGGAACATGATTTCTCTGTTCAAATATACGTGTGTTTCCTGTTTTCACAAGTAAAAAAAAATGAAAAAGTAATTATAATCAATAAATAAAAGGAAATACAATCGCTACGAGATATTCAGTTTTTTTCACGGAATAACATAATAAATATCAATTTATGTCTTAATACAAAATTTAGAAGATGTGGTATGATTGCCAACGAGACAACTATCCACCAAAGACCGAATGACGTAGATATAAGCAACGTTTGGTGACCGTGCGGCCTTCAACAATGAACAAAACCCATAAATAACAATATTTCAGATAATTCAAATGAGAAAACCCGATTGTACACAACAATAAACGTAAAACAAATATAATAGACAGATACCAACGACAATGACTGAATTGCTGGCTACTTCGGACAGGCACATAAAAAATGCAACAGATAAACAGTGTTAACTAGAAATATCACGAGAAACCTGAAACTGAGATGTTCGAACATTTCATTAACTAGTATCATAATTCATCATAAAGAGCATTCTAACGAAGATCTTGAAATCTACAAATTGTAAAAACTCAATTGTCAGTGGGGCATGATTGATTGAGAATTAGGGCTATCATATGAATGAATGGTAATGTTTGGTAAAAATAACTAGTTCTTATATATGTTTTATAGATCTACAAATTCTTGTATGTGATTTATTTGCTTGGTTTACCAATGCACTGACAAACTTTACATAAAAGTCTTTCGGACCACTTGTATTCTGTTTGTTGGTGCAATGCCCAGTTTACACACCACTTACATCTAGATAAAATGAGTTTAAGAGCTTAGACTATTATATCAATAAAAGGAAGAAAAGATACGTTAATTTGTGTGTTTTGTCAAGTAGTTAATATTACATGCGTATTCTAAACCAATTGAACAAGGTTGAGTAGGATGAAAGGTGTGAGATTTCGAGCTCTATAAAAAAAAAACGCAGAAGAAATGGTTTAGCACGATTACGAGTATACAGGTTCTTCCTTGTAAATACAATACAGTGTCAATGTTTTTTCATTGTGTATTGTTTTTGTTTTTTTGTTGTTTTTTTTCTCTCAATTTTATTTATTTTGGAGTGGTGGAAGTTGTGAATTTCTTTTAATCAATCTGTTTTGTTTTCATTTCTGTGTTGATTTTCTGTACAAAGGTTACTCTTGGCATTACATAGATTATTCTGTTGACTTCTTATGACGTCTCTTTGTGATATCTAACAGAACTGTCAGGAACTAGAGTGTAGAAAGACATGCCCTCAATAGCAGTAGATTAAGTTGTTTTAAAGTGCTCGAAATAATAACGGTCATTATTTGATACGGTCGTATATAGTATTGTTTATATGATTAATACATGTGTTCTTGCCATCCATAATATTATTATGTAATGAGCGGTTTTTTTCTATGTTCCATTTGCTATTCCCTTGGAAAGAATGCAAGATAAATATTAAATAAAAGTACTTTATCCTCGCCGCGCGTTAATGTTGTCCTTCCCAATTACGTCGAGTAATGAGACGTGTATATGAGGCTGACTTCATACAGGAACTTCTTAGGAAGAAAGAAAAGAAGTTAGCAGTATCCTTTAATTTCACTTTCCGCTATATAGATGATGTTCTCTCACTAAATAATTCAATATTTGGTGACTATATTGAACGCATCTATCCCATCCAACTTGAGACAAAGGATACATCAGATACAGTTAAGTCTGCCTCATATCTTGACTTACATATAGAAATTGACGATGAGGGTCGGTTGAAAACAAAACTTTATGACAAATGCGATGATTTCAACTTCCCAATTGTGAACTTTCCATTTCTATGTAGCAACATTCCAGCAGCGCTTGCGTACGGAGTATATATCTCCCAGTTGATACGATATTCCAGGGCTTGTGTTTCCTATCATCATTTCCTTGATAGAGGGTTGCTGCTCACAAGGAAGCTATTAAACAAAGAGTTCCAAGTGGTGAAGTTAAAATCATCCCTTCGTAAATTTTACGGACGCCATCACGAGTTGGTTGACCGTTATGGAATATCCGTTTCACAAATGACAACGGATATGTTCCAATTTTCTTAACTACAATCTCGTCCCCTTCCCCCCAATGTGACCTACCGAATTAGACATATCACCGGGTTTGTACTTAAATGAGCAAAACGACGGGTGCCACATGTGGAGCAAAATCTGCTTACCCTTCCGGAGCACCTGAGATCACCCCCAGTTTTTGATGGGGTTCGTGTTGCTCAGTCTTTGGTTTTCATTGTTGTTTTGACTACTGTTGTTTGTTTGTCTTTATCTTTTTTAGCCATGGCGTTGTCAGTTTATTTTCTACTTATGAGTTTGAAAGTCCCTTTGGTATCCTTCGCCTCTCTTTTATCGATGAAGTTTTGAAGCTTTTTGAAAATTTCGTCATATCCGCTCAAAATGGTAATTTTTCACGTTTAAGATTGTATTACACCTCCAAACAGTAAACTTTCAGAGAATTGTTTTTCATTTTGTCAGAGCGGTGCTTTCTATAGATGAGTATACGGTATGGACTTTGTTCATTATTGAAGGCCACGCACTGACCTGTCTTACTCAAAATAAGATGATCTTTCGAATTGAACAAAAAAGTTGAATATGTTTTACTATAAAACACGTGTAATTACTTATCTAAAAAAAATCCTTTATTTAATCCAAGTCTTCAGAAATGTACTGCTATTGAATTATTGTCTTCCTGTACTTTTTATTCGCCGCCGATAGCTTTTCTGTATGCAGTGACCTTAATCACGACTACTCACGTTAGAAATTCGGCAACCGCACAGCGCAAGTGCGAGGAAAAAACCGTGCTGTAAGAAAAGGTAAACTAATGTGGAAGGAAGAAAGTTTTAATTGCTTCTGAAAGAATTGTTTATTTTACACCAAATCATTAAACAACTGTTATGAGAAAGTTTAATTCTCAAATGGAAACGAATGTAAAATTTGAAAAAAAACCTTATAATCATCATTCAATCATCTAACTGATTTTGCACGTGTTCCATGATTCTGTGCTGACTATATATCTATGCCAGGATTGGTAAACTTCGACATCAAAACCCGAAAGTTAATTAGCAGCCAAATTTTCTATCAACAACACCGAATGAACTATGTTTATCTATTATACGTTATGGATTCGTCATAAGTGTAAAAACGTGCACAGAGATCGACTTATATATGGTATGTAAGCTTGCATTGGCTCAATAATTTCATTACATTATAATTACTAAAAAGTAGTTTTATATGTCTTGTCTCATTCGCAATCATATCACATCTCCTTATTATACATTTTCCATTGTAAAACCGAATATCTTTATATCTTTAAGTAAATGCTTCATATTTTGAAGATGAGTCTTCTTTTTTTTGCTAAAAAATCACAATAAGCCCGTGGTAGCGTGCTCGCCGGTAAAAACAAACACTTTAGAATTAGTATCTTCGCTAAGCACGTGGTATTTAGGAGTTAGAGAAACTGGTCGGCTAGGACCCCAAACAATGTGTCTTCTATGTGTATTTTGTTTAAAATCTGTTTCAGCGTGTCGGTCTAGGACAAAGTAGAGTTCATATTCCTATCAAATTATCATGCTCTTGTCCTGAAATGCATGTAATATTTGCCACTGAACGGTAAACATCAATCCATTATCATCATCCTCTTGGCCTTTTATTCCGTCTCTGAAACATCTACATGACATACGCCTTGGGCATCGAAATGCTTGTGTACTAGATAAACAACGAAGTGGTTCACCGCTTTGCACTTTTAGTCTAGAATAGGTCCAATGTCAAAAACTTATAAATTTTCCGTAGTTAGATTTAAGTACTACGTGATGATCTAATCGGTAAATATACTCTAAACACACCAATCCTGGTGTCCTTGCTGACACAAGCACCAACATTTGATAAGGTTTTACTATTTCTCCTTCAAATTCCAACATTGTTGTGACCAAATTCGGTTTTATCGGACAATGATCATAATAGTCACCTTGAAAGCAGATAACTGAAAATTAGTTTACAGGTAAGACGTTTTTATATGAGCTCCTACTAGAAGATACATTTTTTTCTGTATATTCACCAATAAGATGTGCGTTCAATTTCTGTAAGCGTTCCAAAAAATAATACTTGGTGCGCTTTTCTGCGTAAAACTTCGTCTGAAATTCTTTAAAAACTTTGGAATCAAATACGTCTGCAGCTACATAATGTTGGTTGCTTTTATAAATAAAAAAAGAAGCATACTTAAATATAAAATTCTTAGATCAAATATTTTTCCGTTTGTTCAATTTTTTACTCATTGATAGTATGGCAAACGCATCTTGTTTTGACAAAAATATCGATGAGATTACAAATTATCTTTGATTCTTTCAAACTAAATATACATCAAAGTATTTTTTAATCAATTAATCAAATCATTGGTTTAGTATGTAACAGTCCAAAAATATGATATATATACTGTAACATTATACGTTACCAATTATAATGTACCAGATATGCATTTCGACAAATAATGTCACTGCAGTGATGCTTCTGGCCAAATAATTTGGATGGATTGATTGATTGATTGTTATTTACTTAATATCATATAGCAAATATTTCATGCATGTTATGGACGAGGTCAAATTAACAAATAATAC